CTTATCTTAATTGAAAACAGGATTAGAAACTAATGTCTCTCAAATTGTGCATAAATTGTAGGGTTTATTTGTTCCAAGAACTTTTTTATTTCTGTTTCCTTAAATGTTTATTAATTTTTTTATAGTTGTATTCCTTTATAGGCGAAAAGGAGAGCACATTTAGTGAATTTAGTTGTTTTCGTTTTCCTTTAAATGTCCCCTGATGCCCTTCCCGTCCCCCCTCCCCTTCAGCCCTCCAGGGGGGGGGCGGGGTTGGGGGAGGAGACTGGTGGCTTCTCAGGGGTCTGGGCACCTGCAGGCCTGGAGGGGGGCGGGGCCTCAGGGACTGAGCGGAGGCAGAGGCCGGGGCTGTACCGGAGCCACACTACAGCAAGGGTCACCTCCAAAGGCCTGGAGAGGACTCAGGTGTAAACAGGCCCCCTGCCCCCCCTCCCCCCCCCAGCTGCTGCTCATCCTGGAAGTGGCAGAGGGAACTTCAAACTCAAAGGTTGATGCAGACCGGCTCGGGCAGCAGCAGGTCACATGGTCCATGCAGACTCCAGAGGTAGGTGGAGCAGCTGGGGGCCGAGCAGATGCTGTCCCTGTCCCTGTGCGCCCCAGGAGGCAGGCGCTATGGCTGCACAGGGATGGGGCACCAGCCCAGGGGAGCTGGAGGGACAGGATGTGCCTGGGAGGCCACCGGTGACTGTCACCAAAGCAGAGTGGGGCGGGGGCCAGGGCTGCCCCTCTTCCCACACGGCTCTGGTGGGAGCCTCGTCCATCTGCTGCAGCCCCCAGCCCAGAGCTGGCCTGGGGACCCAGGCTTCCGGGAGGGGCACACAGCTCGGTGAAGAGACGCCCTACCCTGACTGCCGTCTGTGGTGAGGGGAAATCGAGGCAGGGCTCTCCGGCTGACCTCATTCCCAGCTGTCTGCACCACAGGTCCCGGCCCTGGACGCCTCACACTTCTCAAACTTCCTGGGACAGGCCACACCCCCTGCGGATGCAGCTCCCGCAGATTCCAGCTGAGGGCACAGCCTGACCTTCCTCCTCCGCCATCACTAGAACCAGCTCGCCCCAAAGAGCCCCGCCCAGCCGCAGCTGCGCCCACGTGCTGTCAAAGCGAGAACTGCGGGCTGTCCCCTCAGAAAACAGGAAATGTCCCTCTGCTGGGGACGCCCTCTCAGCACAGACGCGCAGCAAGTGGCTGCCCCGGGCCAGCTCGACCGCGTCTGCAGCTGGACTGGCCAGGGCCCCTCAGCGAGCGGCCCTGGTGTTTGGGAGGAGAGGAGGGTGGGGACACCTGTGTGGTCACACGGAGGGGCAGCAGGAGATGCAGCGAGGCTTCCGGTCGCAGCGGCGTCGCGTTGGACTCCCTCACATCAGGACCTGGGTCCGTGTGTCCGGCAGGCGCAGCCCCACGAGCCCCCCGCACACCAGCACGGTGGAGGCCAGCAGGATGGGGAGGGCCTTGGTGATGCCCACCAGGGAGCCGAAGATCAGGTTCCCCAGCACGGCCGCCGCCTTGCAGAGCGCGTTCAGGAAGCCGAAGCCCGTCGCCCTGCAAGAGACACGGACGAGGCTTAGGGGGCATCGGCACGGCCGCGGCCACTGACCCATGCGTAGTCTTGCTGCACACACACGGGCTTTCACGACAGCTGCCACTGATGGTTTGGGTCTCCAACATCTTCAGCACCCAGGAAAACCCGTCTTCTGGTTGCATTTTCCATGGCCTTCCTGCTCGGGTGTCAGCACGGCGAACAGCAACAGCTGCCAGCAAAGCCAGGCAGGAGGCCAGGCTGCCGCGCTGCCCTCAGCCTCTGCCCCCCCCCCCCCCGATTTAGGCTCCACGCAAAGCTTCCGGTTATCACGGCCGGAAAAGGAACGAACTTTTAGGGAGCAAGATCTTGGGGCTGGCACCGTGGCCCAGCGGTTATCTGCCGTCTAGAACACTGGCACCCCAGCTTTGAGTGCCGGCTGCTCCACTGCTGATCCAGCTCCCTGCCAATGCTCCTGGAAGGCAGCAGCGGATGGCCCACGTGCTTGGGCCCCTGCCGTTCACACGGGAGACCCCGCTGTCCATGCACTTTCCGGAGGCCCCTTGTGTGACCGCGTTCTCGCCCTGTGGTGCTCCAGCCTGGCTGTGTCGGCAGCTGGGGGCTTTCCAAAGGGGGCGATGCGGGCAGATGCAGCCTAGGCCCCTGGCCCCAACAGGCTGTGGCTTTGGAGCTGGCCCAGAGGCCCAGAACTGGGGTTCTCAGGAGCTCCGAGGGAGTGCCGGGCCTTGGGACAGAGAAACTGCTGTCTGACCAGGCATTTGACTTCCGCTCTGGTGCTGGTTTGCTCCGGTTTGATTCGGATTTGTTCTGTTGCAAACTGTAGGAGACCAAAGTAGGAAATGCCGCTCCACCCTCTAACAAGGTTTAATTTCTGGATTCTCGGGGCCGTGCTGTGGTGTGGTAGGCTAAGCCCCTGCCTGTAGCTCTGGCATCCCATAGGGGCGCTGGTTCTAGTCCCGGCTGCTCCTCTTCGGATCCAGCTCTCTGCTATGGCCTGGGAAAGCAGTGGAAAATGGTCCCGCACCCACGTGGGAGCCCCAGAAGAAGCTCCTGGCTTCAGATCGGCCCAGCTCCAGCCATTGTGGCCATCTGGGGAGTGAACCAGTGGATGGAAGGCCTCTCTCTCTGTCTCTACCTCTCTTTCTCTGTAACTCCACCTCTCAAATAAATAAATAAATCTTTAAAAATTTTCTGGATTCTCTTTCGTGTTTTCCAATCATGCAAATCATGCAAATCAGCTGATCAGTCAGGGGATATATGGGATTCTGGTTTCTGCTTGTCTTTTTTTTAAGATTTAACCTGCCCTAACCTGCCAAGGCAGCTAAACGCACAGATGGGTCCACCACTGGGAGGGCCTGTGAGCAGATCGGAGGCCAACGAAGGAGCCACGGCACTGCAGGGTCTGAATCCTGCAGCAGGCGGCCCCTCACCCCGGGGCCCCTGACGCAAGGATGCGATGTGAGCAAGGGAGGAGAAACCCCCAAGAACCCTCAGAGCATCCTCAGACCAAGGGCCCGAGAGGAGAAACCCCCAAGAGCCCTCAGAGCATCCTCAGACCAAGGGCCCGAGAGAGCACCACGAGAGTGTGGTGGATGTGCCCAGCACCCCAGGCTGCAGGTGCTTGGCAGGGGATGGGTGCAGGAGCACCTGCAAGCTCTGAGCAACACAGCCAGGGCCTGCTCCCGCCCGGGAAGCACTGCTGTGTCAGCGAGCCAAGGGCGGGGTCTCACTGCCCCGGCCAGGCCCTGGGGTCGCTGCTTCCTCACCCAGCAATGAGGGGCTGCACACAGTATGGTACGGTGCAGGTCTCCAGGCTCGGAGCAAGACAGGGCTTCTCTCTCTCTAAGTGACTGGCTCAGGGCTGGGCTCCTCCCCAAGGCCTGCGTCCAGCCAGGTCCTGACACGCGGGGCGGTCTGCATCTCCACCTCTAGACCGCAGGGTGGTTTTCTTCCACGCAAGAAGGACGGCTGAGGTTCGTCCCAGAGACCTCCCTGTGCTTGCTTAAGGCAGGGCTCACGTGGGCCCTGCAAACTGGGAGGGAGTTCCCCGGCAGCCGTGTGAGCACTAACCTGAGCCCAGAGGGGTTACAACACGTGAACTCCCATTGCACCTAATGTCATGCTCACCCAATTCGTTACACCCCAGACCTTCATTACACCCTAACCTCAGTCACACCCTAACCACAATACACCCCAACCCATTCACACCCTAACCCACATTACACCCCAACCCAGTCAAACCCTGACTCACATTACACCCAACCCATTCACACCCTAACCCACATTATACTCCAACCCAGTCAAACCCTGACCCACATTACACCCCAACCCCAGTCACACGCCAACCAACATTACACTCCAACCCCAGTCATACCTTGACCCCACATTACACTCCAATCCTAGTCACACCCTAACCCACATTACACTCCAACCCAGTCAAACCCTGACCCACATTACACCCCAACCCATTCACACCCTAACCCACATTATACTCCAACCAAGTCAAACCCTGACCCACATTACACCCCAACCCCAGTCACACACTAACCAACATTACACTCCAACCCCAGTCATACCTTGACCCCACATTACACTCCAATCCTAGTCACATCCTAACCCACATTACACTCTAACCTGTCATACCCTTATCCACTTTACACCTCAACCACAGTCACACCTTAATCTACATTATACCCTAACCCATCATACCCTAACCCACATTACACCCCAACCCAGTCACACCCTGACTCACATTACACTCCAACCCCAGTCACACCCTAACCCATATTACAACCCAACCCCAGTCATACCCTAACTCACATTACACCCCAACCCATCACACCCTCACATTACACCCCAACCCCAGTCACATCCTGACTCACATTACACCCCAACCCCAGTCACATCCTAATCCCCACTAACCCCAATCACATGCTCACCTTCCCCACCTTGCTGTGGCTTCCCAGATTGTCAGCTCACAAACCAAGCCACGGATACAGTGAGCTCCTGAGCTGGTCTCAGTGCCGTGTTCACTCCTCTAGGAACTACGGTCCCCACCCACGTCTTCTCTGTAGACACACGGGTGGCGCTGCGAGTCTCGTGGCACAGAGAACTTTGGGTTTTGCACTCTCTTGGAAGTGGCCATCTGGCAGCAGTCCAGCTTATTTTTGTGATTTTTCAGCAGTCGCCTGGGGCCCTACAACATACCTGCGGTCTGTGGGGTACAGCTCCACAGTGACCACGTCCAGCGAGTTCCAGGCGGAGATGGTCAGCCCATTGTACAGACACAGCATGCCAATCATCATGGACTCGCTGGTGCCGAACCACAGGAAGAAGCAGCTGATGCCCGACAGCACCATGGAGCCACCTGCCAAGGACCAGACGAGGACTGCAGGGCCTGAGCCAGCCGGGCGAGGCAGGAGGGTGAGGGTCGGGGGCTTTGTGAAGTGGGCTCCAGAAAGCTCCAGCACAGGGCGGCCAGCTGCAGGGATGGCACGTACGAAACGCACATCACCTGTCGCTCAGCTACTTCAGTGGGAAAGTCACAAACAATCACTTCTGCGTCAGCCCATGGACACCGCTCAAGTGCGATGTGATCAGCCCCCACTCTGCCTGCAGCTCTGTGCTAACAGAGGTCTGAGCCACGTCCCTCCGGGCAGGGGGCAGAGCAGGCAGCAGTAGCTGCCCCGCCCAGGGAGCTGAGCGCTTACCCAGCATCGTCAAGCGCCCGATTCTGTCCATCAGCAGAGCGGAGACGATGTTCCCCGGCAGCACGGCCAGCGTCCCCAGGAAGTTGACAAAGTAGATCCAGTAGGCACTGTAGTCATCGTCGAAGGTGATCTGGCACCCCGTCTTGTTGTGGGAAAAGGAGCAGTTCTGAAACTCGCTGTTGATGAACTTGTAGGGCTCAAAGTCTGCAGAAACAGCAGCAGGAACCATCAGCTCCCGAGGGCCGGCAGGCAAACGTCGGCACGAGCCCTCGGCAGGGATCGGGACTGCGAACCCTTGGGGGCTTCACGCCTGGGCTGGCTTCACTTCCCCTGCCTTCTCCTGGCCAAGGCAGAGTCCAGTCCAGGACCTCGCACTACAAGGCAGCCGCATGAAGGGAACTTACGTTGCACAAAGGAGTAAACTAAGCTATAATCAAGCTGACTTCTGATCGCTGTAGTTGGCCGTTGCTGACCATTCCCTTACAGGGTCACTGTCCTGATGACCATGCTATGTAAGGACCGTCACCAGAGAACTAACAGCTTCCACGCTACAGTCACAGACACACCTCGCTTCAAATGTGGGTGAGTCGGCCTCATCACTGCCCTCTGTTGTCTCAGGCTCAGGGAAGGGACAGGGCTTTCTCTGGGTCTCTAAGGGCCAGGGAGGCTGCAGCTGAGGGTCACCAGCACTGATGGCTGACTTGTCCTTGAACCTGGCGCTGTCCCAGCACGTCTGCAGGGGTGGCAGGCTCTGCTAGGAGAGATTCAGAGAGCCAGTCTGTGAGAGTGACACGTCACCTTCCTTCCTGACAGGGTTCTTGCTGAAGCTGGGCAGGGCACCCTGCAGAGTGCTGGCAGCAGATGCTGGCCCTCTGGCCAGGCCAGGTTGCCACTCTGGACTCTTTCCCAGCACCGGGGGGTGGGCTGTGAAGGCCTGGCTCTGACGTCATGTCACCTGTCACCACGTCCACGAGTGTAGCCTCAGCCACCATGAAAACTGAGCGGAACAATGTATGTCTGATGAGCCCAGTAGGCAACAGCACACAGCAGGTGCTCAATGCTTGTCTCCTTTATTTCCTAGAGGAGTTTTCAGATCTAGTTAATGACCAGGCTACACACCAGCGTATGAAGTCAGGGTCACCACAGCAAACCAACCAGAGGCTCGCTCTGCTCCAGAAACAGCCAATAAAGGCCCTTCTTGCTTTGGCTAATTTTGAACTTCAGCAAGTTGTACTGCATTAAATCTGACAAGACAAACAACACAGCTTGTGTCTGTCCCAGCTGATTTAGGGAACTTGGGTCTGCTTCCCACATGCGCTGCCTGTGCTGCCATGTGGTTACCACATTCACCTACCTGTGTGGTCGAACACGGTGTCGATGAAGGTGCAGTTCTTGAAGTAGGTGTTGACAGAAGTCACATCCTCAAAGGTACAGGACTTAAAAACCGAATCTTTAAAGGTCACAGATTTGAACTTGACTCCTAGGAACCTGTTCAACACACACACACATACATAGAGCCACGTCACGGCCTTTGTCCACCAGAGCTGAAAGCCAAGTCAGACAGATGTAGACTTAACTACAAAGGTCACAGGTCGCAGGTGTTCTAGGTGCTGTCCCTCGCCCCACAAAGCTGTCCTTTGTCATCCAGTAGCCATCGAAATGCTTTCCCACCCGGTGGAGAGATGGTGTGGACAGTAAGGTAGCTTTTGGCAGTATCAGCAGGTCTTGTGGGTGTGCAACAGAAGGTACAGGGTGTGGGGTTACCTGCGGTTACTACTTCCAATCCTACTCGCTTTATGTGAAAATTCTAAGCTTGGGGTTTATAGCTCTCCAGTGCCCCGCAAAATTATAATGAAGCCAGTATCCTAAGCCAAGAACCCGAGGCTGCTGCCTGCTCGGACAAAATGTGCACCTACTCCGAGACAGGATCTCAGAACTCCACTGATTTATGTGAGAAGCAGCAGCCTTGCAGGTCATCCTTATTCCAGAAGTACGATCAAAAACGACCAACAGGAGTCCTTCAGCCCCAACACGCACTCAGTCCTCCCACAGTCAGCACTGCTCAGCCCTAACACGCACTCAGTCCTCCCTCGGTCAGCACTGCCCTCAGACCTAACACGCACTCAGTCCTCCCTTGGTCAGCACTGCCCTCAGAGCTAACACACACTCAGTCCTCCCGCAGTCAGCACTGCTCAGCCCTAACACACACTCAGTCCTCCCTCAGTCAGCACTGCCCTCAGCCCTAACACACACTCAGTCCTCCCTCGGTCAGCACTGCCCTCAGACCTAACACGCACTCAGTCCTCCCTTGGTCAGCACTGCTCAGCCCTAACATGCACTCAGTCCTCCCACAGTCAGCACTGCCCTCAGCCCTAACATGCACTCAGTCCTCCCTCAGTCAGCACTGCCCTCAGACATAACACTCACTCAGTCGTCCCTCAGTCAGCACTGCCCTCAGAGCTAACACTCATTCAGTCCTCCCTTGGTCAGCACTGCCCTCAGACCTAACACACACTCAGTCCTCCCTCGGTCAGCACTGCCCTCAGACCTAACACGCACTCAGTCCTCCCTCGGTCAGCACTGCCCTCAGACCTAACATGCACTCAGTCCTCCCTCAGTCAGCACTGCCCTCAGAGCTAACACGCACTCAGTCCTCCCTCAGTCAGCACTGCCCTCAGACCTGACCTGCACTCAGTCCTCCCTCAGTCAGCACTGCCCTCAGAGCTAACACGCACTCAGTCCTCCCTTAGTCAGCACTGCCCTCAGACCTGACCTGCACTCAGTCCTCCCTCAGTCAGCACTGCCCTCAGACACAACACTCACTCAGTCCTCCCTCAGTCAGCACTGCCCTCAGAGCTAACACGCACTCAGTCCTCCCTTGGTCAGCACTGCCCTCAGCCCTAACACACACTCAGTCCTCCCTCGGTCAGCACCGCCCTCAGACCTAACACGCACTCAGTCCTCCCTCAGTCAGCACTGCCCTCAGACCTAACACACACTCAGTCCTCCCTCAGTCAGCACTGCCCTCAGAGCTAACACGCACTCAGTCCTCCCTCAGTCAGCACTGCCCTCAGACCTAACACACACTCAGTCCTCCCTTGGTCAGCACTGCCCTCAGACCTAACACACACTCAGTCCTCCCTCAGTCAGCACTGCCCTCAGAGCTAACACGCACTCAGTCCTCCCTCAGTCAGCACTGCCCTCAGACCTAACACACACTCAGTCCTCCCTTGGTCAGCACTGCCCTCAGACCTAACACACACTCAGTCCTCCCTCAGTCAGCACTGCCCTCAGACCTAACACGCACTCAGTCCTCCCTCAGTCAGCACTGCCCTCAGACCTAACACTCACTCAGTCCTCCCTTGGTCAGCACTGCCCTCAGAGCTAACACTCACTCAGTCCTCCCGCAGTCAGCACTGCCCTCAGACCTGACACACACTCAGTCCTCCCGCAGTCAGCACTGCCCTCAGACCGATGGCAATACAGGAACTCGTGGCCGGCGCCGCAGCTCAGTAGGCTAATCCTCTGCCTTGCGGCACTGGCACACCGGGTTCTAGTCCCGGTCGGGGCGCCGGATTCTGTCCCGGTTGCCCCTCTTCCAGGCCAGCTCTCTGCTGAGGCCAGGGAGTGCAGTGGAGGATGGCCCAAGTGCTTGTGCCCTGCACCCCATGGGAGACCAGGAGGAGCACCTGGCTCCTGCCATCAGATTGGCGCAGTGCGCCGGCCGCAGCGTGCTGGCCGCGGTGGCCATTGGAGGGTGAACCAACGGCAAAAGGAAGACCTTCTCTCTGTCTGTCTCTCTCACTGTCCACTCTGCCTGTCAAAAAATAAAAAAAATTAAAAAAAAAAATTACAGGAACTCCTGAAGGTTTGGGTCCCGTGGACACATTTGGAAGGACTTCACTACCTCTGAGGCACGTCCCCAGGTGTTGTCATGGATTTACTTGAGGACAACAGTCATGGCCATGAGGACCATGCACAGTGGCCCCCCCCTCGAGGGCTCCGTGACACAGTCAGGTGTTCACTGCTGTGTTCTGAGTCCCTAAGAGACAGGGATGCACATGCAGGGTTACCGAGGAGAACGCCTGCTCCTGGAGTGGGGTGTTCACAACACACCCTCCTTGGGGCACGGAAGGACGCATCGTGCTGGGCGCTCTCAGAGCGCTCTCACCCCATGCCTGAGTGCTGAGCTCAGCCTGCATGGTGGCCCACACATGAGCAGCTCAGCCCCACTGCAGGTGCCCCGTGTGAAGCCACCGGAACCAGGAGGAGAGGCTGACCCGAGCGTGCTTCCCTCGCTCACGGGAAATGGAAATGGATGGTGCGCTTGGGTGGTGTGAAGTTTCTGAAATCCGCCTAGTTTTTTCATAATGTCTATTTCCCCTTCACAAACATGAATTTCAAAATATTTTTTGGCTACAGAACACACTTACCTTTTAATTCCAGTTTTCATAAACTTCCCAAACTACCCCTGTATTGCTAGTTCAAAAACTTTCTAAGTGATAGCCGGATATCCAGCTCAGGTCTTTAACAAGTATCACTAAACATACACTAGAGCTTTCTCACAGAGGAGAGGTACTTCTTTACACAAAGTAGCTGCTCACTCTAGACTCACAATGCGTTTGATGCAAGGTTTCGGTGAGACCGCGTGAGGACTTCATCAGGGAAGTGGCCCTCGTGGGCCTCCTGTTAGAGGGCTGCGCCTCTCTCCATCACGGACCACGCACCCATGGAACTCTCCCCTGTCTTTCCAAGTTGGTTTTGTCCTAGAAAACTTCAGTTTACATTTCAAATCGCCGTTGACGCAGTATTTTCCAAGCCCTCTCACGTTCTCGGACCCTAACTGCTCCTGTCAGCATGTAAGCTGGATTTCCAGTGCAGCCAGTGCAGTGCAGAAGGGACGACGTCTGGCAAGTGCCATCTCCAGCCAGAGGCGCACTGTGTCTCAGGTTTCCCCTCGGAACAAGCCCCTTGCCCGGCTCCTGGTCGCACACTCCTCGCTCTCCCCTTCCCTACCTTCCCTGCTCTTGGGGGACTCCACAGTCTTTTCACGGGGTCAGCCCCACTACTTAACAAGCGGGAAGCAGCCCAGTTCTAGAAGCACCTTAAGTGCACTAACGGATGTATGTTCACCCTTCCCTGAAATCCTATTTGCAAGCATTCAAATGCAGCATGAAGTGACCACAACTAAAACTAAACAAAGCGAAGCCAGCTATGCAGCCCCAGTGTGGCAGAGATGACAGATGACCACAGAACAGGCTCGGTGAGCAGTGACGAGTGAGGGTGCTTCAGGAGTGCAGACCTGCCGTTGTCATACTCCATCCCCGTGTGGACCTGGTTCTCCATGGTGAAGTTGATGCTGAAGTTGGCGTATCTGTCCCTCTGCACGTTCCTGGTGAGCAGTGCGTAGCCATCGGACTGCAGGTGCTTAATGACATCAGGGAACCACACAGACAGCCCGTAGTACCTGCAGAGACACACAGACAGCCCGTAGTACCTGTAGGGACACACAGACAGCCTGCAGTACCTGCAGAGACACACAGACAGCCTGTAGTACCTGCAGGGACACACAGACAGCCTGCAGTACCTGTAGGGACACAAACAGCCCGTAGTACCTGCAGAGACACACAGACAGCCCGTAGTACCTGCAGAGACACACAGACAGCCTGCAGTACCTGCAGGGACACACAGACAGCCCGTAGTACCTGCAGAGACACACAGACAGCCTGCAGTACCTGCAGAGACACACAGAGACAGCCTATAGTACCTGCAGGGAGACACAAACAGCCTGTAGTACCTGCAGAGACACACAGACAGCCCATAGTACCTGCAGGGACACACAGACAGCCCGTAGTACCTGCAGAGACACACAGACAGCCCATAGTACCTGCAGGGACACACAGACAGCCCGTAGTACCTGCAGGGACACACAGACAGCCCGCAGTACCTGCAGGGACACACAGACAGCCTGCAGTACCTGCAGGGACACACAGACAGCCTGCAGTACCTGCAGAGACACACAGAGACAGCCTATAGTACCTGCAGGGAGACACAAACAGCCTGTAGTATCTGTAGGGACACACAGACAGCCTGTAGTACCTGCAGAGACCACACATACAGCCCATAGTATCTGCAGGGACACATAGACAGGAAGCCTGTAGTACCTGCAGGCACACACACACACAGCCTATAGTACCTGCAGGGACACACACACAGCCTGTAGTACCTGCAGGGACACACACACACAGCCTGTAGTACCTGCAGGGACAAGGGCACGCTAAGGCCCTGCACACCAGCAGTCACGGTGCCTTTCACGTGTACAGGGCTGCAGCGGTTCCTGGAGCGGTCCCAGGTGCTACTAGCTCCCTACGGCACCAGGGGGTCACCACACCAGGGTCTGGTGCCTGCCCCACCCCAACTGATCTGGTGTGGATTTGGCTGGGGTTACCTGGATAACCTAGCTGTGTAATTCCCGAGACTTCCGTGGGGAAGAGACAAGCGGAAGAATCCCATGATGAACCTACATGTAGCGCCATGGTTTGAATGCGCCTCCCAAATTCACACACAGGAACCTGAACATACTGTTAGGACTCCCTAAACACTACTGGTATGGCCACCCTAGCTTTAAGACAAGATCGGGAACATAACTGCTTTATGGAAACCACAGTAGTGAGCAAATCCGAGCTGCACACAGCACCCAGCCAGCAGGTAACCAGCCAGGTAATCCAAGGCGGCCCAGAGGGTGCCGACCACTGCGGCTCTCCCAGAACTCAGGCAAGACTCACCCGAAGGACAGCGTGAACCAGACCACCGTGAGCTTGATGGTGTTCTCTCTGATGGGGTAGTTGAAACACCTCATGAACGTCAGCCAAATCTGAAACGTCAGGGAGTCAGCTTCCTATGCAGCTACCGCACCTGCCCCCGCCCCATTTTTTCTACCAAATTAGAAAAAAGCTGTGATTTTATCCAGATGGATTCATCTCAACACGCGAAAGCCAAGGCCACAGGAGGCAGACGCTGGCACTTGCACTTTTCAACCTCTCAGGCACACACCTGCCCTTGCCAGGTGGCAGCAGGAAGGGCTCACTGCCTATCCGGGGCGGTCTCAGCGTCGGGTGTCCTGTGCACAGGGGCAGAGCCCACACGTGGCAGAGGCCAGGCACCCCCCCATCCATCCTCAGAGCAACCGGCTCACAGGCAGGTTGGTGCGGGGCGCGCTACTTACTCCGTGGAGCTCTGTGCGGATGCGGACGAAACACCTGCGGTACCAGGTCCCCGTGTCGCTCTCGATCTCGATCAGCTCGTCGAGCTGCTTCGGGGTCTTGATTTTGTTCACCTGGAGCCAACAGAGCAGAAAGCGCCGAGTCCTCTCAAGCTGCCAAGATCGGGCTCACGCGAAGGGACCAAAACCTGACACCCGAGAGCAGTGGTGTCCAGCAGTCACTCCACAGAGAGGCCGTAGCTAACGGACCCTGACAGCAGACAGGCATAGAGGGCGAGAGGGAATCCTGTCGGGAACCGGGCTAAGATGGAGCCACACGTCCACCTTGAGCCATGACCACGGCGACACCGTGAGCAGAGAAAACACCCCGATGAGTGAGCTGGGGGTTAGGGACGACTCTGCTTGGGCCAGACGCCGGGAACGCTTCTCTCTGGGACCCGCTGATCGGATGAACTGGGTCCCCAGCCGTCCCCTTTACACCTTCCCACCCAACTCTTTCTCAGACCACCTTGCGGCCCTTTCTTCTCCACGGCCCAGCCCCAGGGCTTGTCAGCCATGTCTGCTGGCCCCCAGGGAGGGTCCCGGCACTGTCTTCACGCCTCCATCACACTGCACGGCAAGCTGCAAGTTAACAACCGGAGACAACCAACATCTGTCCTCGCATCAGGAAATCTCCGCTTCCTAAAGGTCTCAGCAGGGCTTGCGTCACAAGTTTCAGAACCTAAACTGATGTTCTTTTCTTTTTAAGACCTGTTCATTTGAAAGGCAGGTTAGAGGGAGGGGGAGGGGGAGGGGGGAGAAGGGGGGAGGGAGGCAGAGAGAGGCAGAGAGAGAGAGGACAGAAAGAAATCTTCCATTCGCTAGTTCACTCTTCAAATGTCCACAATGACTAGGGCTGGCCCAGGCCAACACCAGGAGCCAGGAGCTCCATCCAGGTCTCCCACGAGGATACAGGGGTCCAAGGACCTGGGTCGTCACCCACTGCCTTCCCAGGAGCATTAGCAGGGAGCAGCCAGGACTCTAACTGGATCTCAGATGGGACGCTGGTGCCACAGGCAGCAGATGCCCTGACACCAACCCCAACAGACGTTGCTTCCAAGCCAGCAAAAAGATCTAACCGAATTCCTTCAAATTGTTTTAGACAAACCATTTTCCATCTAATTGTATGACTGCACACATCCAAGATCTAAAAACATCATTGCTTCCCAAAATTCCACCCCCACTTTGTGAACTCAGACTGGCTCTCCCATCGACAGCCCATGGTGTATGCAGGTCGGGCAGAAGGGGCAGCCTGGGAGCTGAGGACAGAGGGCAGAGAGAGGCACCCAGACTGCTGAGCAACGCAAGCCCCGAGCCGAGCGTGAGGCACCCAGACTGCTGACCCTGACGCAAGCCGAGCGTGACCCTGAGCGTGTGCTGACGTGTGCCCACAGCGTGCACAGAACACAGCCTTTGCAGAAGCTAAGCTGCTTCCTCAGGCCCTGTGGCCAAGCGGAAGCCACGCCCCTGGACGATGCCCGGCTCCCACACGGCCATCTTCTAACTCTCAGCCTCGGAAACGGCCATGTGCAAAACACCTGTTCACAGGGCAGGGCTGTGCCAGCGGCCTCTGTGGTGCTGTCCAGGGCTCCCTGTGACGCGGCCACGGACTAGGTCCGCAGGAGCCAGAGTGGGACAAGCTGCTGCTGACCTCTGCCCAGGTGGCCGGGGAGCCCAGATGTGACGTCCCGCCCAGCTGCGCCCTGGAGGCCTCAAATTATAAAGGATTCCCGAGGCTGGGGAGGCTGGGTCGGCTGGGAGCCAGTCTTAGCTGGGGTGGGCGGGGCCCTGGAGTCGGTTCCGGTTCCTGGCAGGCTGGAGGCCGCAAGCTCGCTGCTGGGGCAGGCGGTGCCCCCTGTTGGTCTCACATGCAACAGGGTGAATTTTGGCCTCTGACACAATCTGATCATTTCTGTCCTTTAACAGAGTGTTTATACATTTTCATTTCTTAAAAAACAAAACAAAACAAAACAAAAAACAGCATTTCCTTTCTTATCCTAAGATTCCTGTTTTAAAAATCTCCCCTTTACTTTCTCTCTCCTTATAAATGAGCTATACTGTTTTCTGTAGAGTATATAAGGGTATTTCAGAACGTTCAGGGAAAATTAAAGATCACGTTGAAGGATAAGCTTATTTCGGTGCGAAACGCCGGGCATCCGTGCAGGCTGTTCGTGACGCGTGCTCCCCAAGAACCTTCCGGAAATCCGCGTGCCAGTCCACCCCACCTTCACTGTGCTCTAACGCATGCTCCGGCCTACGTTTCTGTAAGACTCTGCCTGAATACTCTCTTTCCAAGTTTTGTGACTTCAGGTATAAAAAATCTGGAGAGTTGTAGAATGTAAAAAACTGGTAATTTTTAATTTTTTCCAAAATTTTTTTATGCTTCTTTCATATCTGCTATTACCCTGAGAGCAGGTTGGTAGGAAGCCGCATGCTCACTCGGTTCGGTCTCATCTTGAGGTAGATGTGACGAGTTTCACTTTCCAGAAAGTCCCGTGGGGCTGCCTTCCTGGGCTGCTCCAAGAGAGATGAACGTCTGCTTCCTCCCTAGGGGACGGACTGCCCTGGGTTGGAGCAAGGGCGCCCTCTTGAGGCCTGCCCGGCCCATGCACTCTCACAGCACAAGATGCCTGGGGCCTGGGTTCCTCTCCTACACGTCTTGGGGTAGGCGGGCACTTCTTGGTGAGGCTTGAGCCAGGGCTCCTGGAAGATGGTCCGGCAGCTCAGGGGCAGTGGATGGTCCCCAGGATGCCCCTGGAGTTCAGGAAGCTGGAGGCCGCAAGCCGCCGGTCTAGCCTGGAGCACGGCTGCCCTCGGTAGAGCACTCACCCCCTGTGCACCTGCACACACCTGTAGACACTCAGGGCTGGGCATGGAACGCTCGCTGTCTATGGAGAACTCAGAACGTACGTCAGGTAAGCTGGGTGTGTGATGTCACTGCCGCACGTGACGCTGGCGTAAAGCCACTGTGCCCCGTGTCACCACCTCGCGTGTCGGTCAGCGGCATCCCTGAGGTGTTGCTGTAGCTACTGTGCCGTGAGGACCTGGAGCTCAGAGTCCAGAAGTTACCTGCTCAGGTCGCTGAGCCGGCGGCAGAGCCGAGCCAGACACATGTGCTTCCCCTGGGAGACTCGGGGACGTGGACCCCAGGCTGAGTCCTGCGTGCAAAGAAGTTTGCGGGAGCAGAGGGCAGAGAGGGCTCAACAGAGCCAGAAAGGGCCCCCTGCTGCGTCCTGAGCCTGGGCGGCAGATGAAGCCTGAGACGAGCACCCAGGCCTCGCCTGAGCCCGTCTCAGCCGGTGCTGCCACTTCACAGGTCACAGCCTGGTTCCAGGGAGGCACGGGCACTGGCAGCTGGAGCAGCTACGAGTACCATTCACCGGAACACAGGCCTCCTTTGCTTACGTGGTGGCAACGGAGGCGCGATGCCACGAGGGCAGAGCCAAGGGTGTGTCAGAGGCCACGGGGCCCACGTAGCCCACAGCATCACGGTCGTGGCACACTCACCGTGAAGACCTTCTCGGGCTGGCCGCGTGCGCGCATGTTGGTGTCGTGAATTAACTTTAGGATCATCCAGGCCTCGTCATGCTTTCCAACCTAAGAGATGAGAGCGGAGAGTGAGACACTGGGGGTAAAACAGACCCTCTACCCTCCACAGCCCCCAGCCCCAGGCCAGACCTCTATCCCCATGCAGGTGTCTCTAGTGCACAGAGACCCCTGAGCTCACAGTCCCCAGCCTCAGGCCAGACAGCTGTCCCCGTGCAGGTATCTCTAGTGCACAGAGACCTCTGAGCTCACAGCCCCCAGCCTCAGGTCAGACAGCTGTCCCCGTGCAGGTGTCTCTAGTGCACAGAGACCCCTGAGCTCACAGCCCCCAGCCTCAGGCCAGACAGCTGTCCCTGTGCAGGTATCTCTAGTGCACAGAGACCCCTGAGCTCACAGCCCCCAGCCTCAGGTCAGACAGCTGTCCCCGTGCAGGTATCTCTAGTGCACAGAGACCCCTGAGCTCACAGCCCCCAGCCTCAGTCAGACAGCTGTCCCCGTGCAGGTGTCTCTAGCGCACAGAGACCCCTGAGCTCACAGCCCCCAGCCTCAGGCCAGACAGCTGTCCCTGTGCAGGTGTCTCTAGTGCACAGAGACCCCTGAGCTCACAGCCCCCAGCCTCAGGTCAGACAGCTGTCCCCGTGCAGGTATCTCTAGCGCACAGAGACCCCTGAGCTCACAGCCCCCAGCCTCAGGTCAGACAGCTGTCCCCGCGCAGGTGTCTCTAGTGCACAGAGACCCTCACCCTCCACAGCCCCCAGCCTCAGGTCAGACAGCTGTCCCCGTGCAGGTGTCTCTAGGTGCAGGCCTCTGGGAATATGAGAGTCCTGACAACACTGAAAACAGCAGCAGTTCACAGCTGCTGGACCTCAAGAGGGGGCCTGTGGGTGCCTGAATCCGTGTAAATCTCTGAGCCACACTCTGTTCAAGGAGCAGAGTCAGCCACCAGGCAGATCAGAACTTCTGCTGCGGCAGCTCCCATACACGGGCTGCAGAATGCGTGCGTCCAGGGCCCCCGCACTCCACAGCGCCAGGATCAGAAGGGAGAATGCGCCAGCCCCACAGGCAGAAAGCAGGCAGCGGTGTGCGGGACCAGTGTTACCTCCAACAGGAAGCGCGGGCTTTCAGGCATGAAGGTGAGTGCCACCACGGAGCACACGCAGGGCAGGGCGCAGACGATGACAAACACGCGCCAGCTGTGGAACTGGTAGGCTGAGCCCATGCTGAAGCTCCACCCTGCAGAAGGGCAGAAAGCAGTGAGGGGAGGGGTCCTCCCGGGGAACGTGGGGGAAGGGAGGTCCTCCCAGGGCACAGGGCACTGAGTCCTCCCAGGGCACAGGACAGTGAGGTCCTCCCAGGGCACAGGGCACTGAGTCCTCCCAGGGCACAGGACAGTGAGGTCCTCCCAGGGCACAGGACACGGAGGTCCTCCCAGGTCACAGGGCACTGAGTCCTCCCAGGGCACAGGACAGTGAGGTCCTCCCAGGGCACAGGACACGGAGGTCCTCCCAGGTCACAGGGCACTGAGTCCTCCCAGGGCACAGGACAGAAAGGTCCTCCCAGGGCACAGGGCACTGAGTCCTCCCAGGACACAGGACAGTGAGGTCCTCCCAGGGCACAGGGCACTGAGTCCTCCCAGGGCACAGGGCACTGAGTCCTCCCAGGGCACAGGACAGTGAGGTCCTCCCAGGGCACAGGGCACTGAGTCCTCCCAGGGCACAGGACAGTGAGGTCCTCCCAGGGCACAGGGCACTGAGTCCTCCCAGGGCACAGGACAGTGAGGTCCTCCCAGGGCACAGGGCAGGGAGGTCCTCCCAGGGCACAGGGCAGGGAGGTCCTCCCAGGGCACAGGACAGTGAGTCCTCCCAGGGCACAGGGCACTGAGGTCCTCCCAGGGCACAGGACAGGGAAGTCCTCCCAGAGCACAGGGCACTGAGTCCTCCCAGGGCACAGGACAGTGAGTCCTCCCAGGGCACAGGGCACTGAGGTCCTCCCAGGACACAGGGCACTGAGGCTCTGTTCCCTCCTGCCCTGCTGAGGGCTGGGAGGTGTCCCTTGGGTCAGGCCTCCAGGGGCTCTGGGTCGCTGGCCCCCAACTGGGAGGGAATCAAAAAAGCTGGCCAAGGGGGCAGAGCGGCAGACTGGTCAAGATGCCCCCTCCTTGCCTCCCCTCTCCCGGGGCCTCCTGCCGGCCCTGCTTCTCGCTGAGGGGCCCACAGCCCCCTCCCCACACTCCACTCAGCTCCCGGCCAGCACAGCTCTCAGAAACCGTGGTTTGCTTGCTGTGCCCTGCAAAGCCACATGCTTCACCACACCACAATAGAAACGAACGCCAGACGCAGGTGCAGCCCCCGCCAGGAGCTGGGAGGCAGCCATTGCTCGCATGAACATGAACTGGCAGAGAGCAAACCTAAACGGGAATTCTCTGGTGCATCAAACACCACCAACGACACAGAGATGCAGGGAGGCACGGAGGAGTGACGGGCGGCCACCCACAGCCCGGCGTCTGCGACTCTTCATGAGCAGTCAGGCCGGCTCCGCGACCCCAGGAGGGCTGGAGGAATTCGAGTCCACCGGGGACGAGCGCGACTGTGCGGGTGACACGGTTTCCCCAGTGCCACGGCACCCAGGTCCACGCCAGGCCAGGAGACGCAGCCCCGCGTGTGCACACCCACCCTCCCCACCTGGGGCGTGCTGCCTTCGCCTCGGTTTCCTGGGAACTTCGTGTACGGAGCCCATGAGGACCGCCGGGGTGATCACCCACCCGCCTCAGGGCACGTGGCTGCTCCCGCGGTAAGGAAGAGGAAGCTGCAATCTCTCGGGAGTCAGGAGCACAGGCGACAGCAGGCCAGGAGCAGGAAGTGCACCCGCAGGCCTCACGCCTGGTCTCCGGGATGCACACGCAGCAGGGCTTTTTAATGGGCCTGGCCCCTACCACTGCCCCACTCAGGAGAAGAGGGCGGAGGGGCTGAGGGGCAGCCGTGCTGACCTCCGCCCCCCACTCCTTCCGTTTATTTGCAAGACGCTTTCGCTCGGTCTCTGAAACCACTCTACCCCCTTTGTCCATTCTTCCCCAAATCGCAGCAGCCAAGCCAACTTCTTGCAATTGATCTTACTCTGCATTTTTTAAGATTTATTGTATTTATATGAAAGAGCTACAGAGACAGGTAGAGACAGAGACACAAAGAGAGAGAGAGAGAGAGAGAGAGAGAGAGAGCGCTTCCATCTGCGTGTTCAGTTCCCAAATGGCCACAACAGCTGGAGCTGAGCTGATCTGAAGCCAGGAACCAGGAGCTTCTTCCACGTCTCCCACGTGGGTGCAGGGCCCAAGGACTTGGGTCATCTTCCACTGCTCTCCCAGGTGCATTAGCAGGGAGCTGGACCAGAAGTGCAGCAGCTGGGACTTGAACCGGCACTCAGGGATGCCGGCGCTGCAGGCAGCCGCTTAGCCCACCGCACCACAGTGCTGGCCTTCACTGCCTGCTACTTTGAACAGACAGAACAATAGGCATACCACTTCCTCAGCCTTGAACCTGTCCACCCTGACACCTGTCTGGTCTGCGTTCCCAGGGCTTAGAACAGACGAGCTGTCTGCGCTGCCCTCTGACCCTGTGCGCGTGGGCTGGTGTCCATCCTACTTCTCTCCTGCCCCTGGCCAACCCTCCCAGTGGGTTCTCGCAGAGTGGCGGTGGCGGTGGGGTGGGGTGGGTCTCCTGCATGTGGACCCTCACAGCCCGATGCACCTGCCTCTGCAGCCACACGGCCTCCTTCGCCCGCCTCCACACCAGGGCGAGGCAGAGGAGTGTCCACAGCAGCCACTCCACACGGCCACCCAAGCAGGCTTCTGTCCCAGAATTCCACAGGAGTGGGGCTGGTCGAGGTCCCCATCGCCTCTCCACCCTCATCTTCCTCAAGCACCAAGCCATGCTGGTGGCTGCTCCTTCCCTGCTATGGAAAACATGCTTCTCTCTTGCCCCACTGGTTTCCTCCGGTTAACCCCAGCCAGCTCCCCTGTTTGTCCCCCAAAAGTGGGCAGACCTCACAGGCCATTAGTTTCCTCCTCTGGCTGCAGGTTCCCCCCAGGTGCCCTCCACGGCCCATGGAAGCAGCCCTTCTTTCCTTCCAGGGCTCTGCATACCTGCACCAGCCCACGCACATCTCACAGAGGCCTGGTGGCATCCCAAAGCAACTGCCTACAGACATCCGATCCCATGCACACTTGTGTCTCTCCTCCCTGTCTCAGCACCACC